TTGGTAAGCGATAAACGAAGCGATAAAAAAAAATCAATTAAAAGATTAACGATGTGTTCTCACTCATTCTGTTTCCTTGTAATACGACCAGTGGGAATATTCGTGGGCAGTGATACTATATACTCTTGACTTTTTTGGAATTTTGAGAAAGCGATATATTCTTATAATTTTGGTCTGTTAGTTTAGTGACGATGCAAATAACAATATGACTTTAATACTTATATTTGATGTCATACTATGGACTGGTCTGGGCATATACAATTATCTTTTTTCTATATATTTTGGTAATCAAAATATTATGTATGCTAATGTTTGTGTATCACTAGGGGGTTAACGAAAAGAGTAGAATGCTCTTGGCCATCTTATCGTGTTTGAAATTCAATTATATTTTTGAAATTGACGACATTCAACAAACAACCAGTGATAATTGAAGACGGAAGCTGGTTGCCCCCCACAAATATTCCAAGTTTCTGTATAGAACAAAAATGTATTTACTTACATACATTTTTTCACGTCTGATAAGTTTGTTGTAGTTTGAACTAATTTTCAATGGACATGAAACCAAATCCAGACACATAATGTCCTACATGACAATGTACAAGCATAACATAACTTGTGTAAAATGTTGTTGAGAGGAAGAAATAATTTGGTGACCTCTAGATGTCATTTGATTTTTGTCACGTGCTAGATACGAAATTGATTTATATTTTATAACACGAGTTTATATATTGTCGTTTAATTGATTGACATTTTCAATACAATTTCCATTTTAGGAAATAAAATGAATGATGGCATATTATCCTATATTATGCAGTAACCTATCAAATTAACTTTATCAACAAAATAACAGCTAGGGGTCTTTATCAAGTTGAGTTTATTAATTTTCTAGATAAGTTATTTCTCAATCAGAGATAGCTAATGAACTAAAGGAAATCTATGGTATTCATCAATGAGACGACAACCCAATGACAGAAATTGTTTTTTTTTGTAATGATTAAATTCCATTATTAGGTGTACCTTTAGAAATGATTTCCGAGATCTAGATAACTGTTTGAAGTTTTTTTTAACATTTTGCTGTTTGTTTGACATTCATTAACATAGTTATTAGTTGCATGTTTCCTTTAGGAAACATCTTTTTTCTGTCTACTTGTAGTTTAAGGCTAGTTATCTATCAAGTGTTTGTTCTTGAAAACAAGACATTTCTAAATGCCTTTTTTCAAGGTTTACCGCTATGTTAGCGAGTAATGCAAAAATATTATTCTATTTTGCGTTTCTCACTTTTTCTTTTGCTTTTATAATCGACCACAGCACGAGGAATCTAAATCCGTATAATTGAATATTAGTGATAAGATTTGAAAGATAGAGCTATGATATGTTTAATAATCGTACATTATCACCAAAAACACAACGGGCATTCATTATCTTTATCATTTGTAACACAGCATCTCTGTCATCTGTTTTGATATGTACCTATTATTAAGTATTATTAATTATGTACCATTACAAATTATCGGCGGTGCAAACAAATATAACAACGGGCATTCATTATCTATATTCATTTGTAACATAGCATATCAGTCACCTGTTTCGATATGTACCTGTAAGTATTATTCTTTATGTAACCTTACAAATTATCCGCGAAACAAACAAATATAACAACTGATATACATTCTCTGTATTAAATTGTAAACCAGCTTCTCACTGTTTAGATTTGCTTCGATATATGCTTATGAATATGATTTATGAATAATCATGGTTCCTGAAACATAATCAGCGGATACACATTTCTTCAACACGTTTCTTAAACATCTTTTTTCTCATTGTTGAATGTCGAACGGTCGCCTATCCACTTCAATTGACTTTTGTTGTCTCATTTGCAATTATACCACATCTCCTTATTCTTAAATCTTATTGAAAGAAAACTGTTTTTCTGTTTTACTTTTCATGATGTTTAATTAAGGGTTTTTCGTATTTGTTTTCTGTATGTTCTTTTTTTAACGTTTTTCAGAATCGGAAAACAGTTACAAATATAAAATCTGAAAATAGCACGTCTTTTGTCATATTCTGAAAAAAAAACATGTTATTAAGCTGATGATGAAGTCATTGTTTATTAAATTAAATTCACTAAGTAGAGAGCCTGTATTTCAATGGTTTCTTGTTTCTTTATGTCTATCATATTTGCTTTGTGATCATTAATTGCTTTGTCGTAAACCAAACCCTTCGTCTTAACGTTTGAATTGGGTGACACTCATAGTTGAAAATCATGAGGTGACCTATAGTTGTTTACATTCACGTCTCTTGATAGTTACCATACCACATATTTTTATTTTTTATAATAACTTACATTATAATTTTTAATGGCTTCAGAATATCACGTATTAACAATCACAATTTAAACATATGACGAGAATTAAAAAAAAAAGAGAAATACTTATAAAGATTCATTCCTTCACTCATAAATAAGAAAATGTCACATGATCCCTCAATGTGCAGTAGCAATTATCTTGTCATATCTTTGATGCATAAAATCTGTTGTTCCCCAGCTGTCTGAATGAAATTGTTGGAATATCAATTTCCTATCAATAAGCAACTTATGATTAATCTTTTTGTTTTTGCTTTTGTTACATTTGAGCAGTTTTTTCTATTAACGTATATTATCAGGTTGAAAGATCATGTATATCTTAGAGATATTGGTTCTAATAAATTATTTTTATCTTTGTAAAGTTATCATGTTCTGATTGAAAAAACAAATTTAAAAAGTATTTATTAAAAATGAACCCTTCACCGTGGTTAGAATAGATCTTCTCAAAACATGAGCAAAACATATTTATTCTTTTTATTACTTTTTCCTTTACACAAGGCTATTTTTTGCGATCTGAGTACGGTCTAAATATTTGTCACGGGACTAGTAAAACATAAAGTAAGTCGGTTCTGTTTACTTAAATGACCATTATCACAGCAAGTCATGCATTTGCTTGCACCTGAAAAACAAATCCCTACTTAAACGTCTGCTTTACTGTGCCTTTAAAAAATACTAAAGACGTATTATGTAATACACGAGACATAATGCAATCAACATAATAAATTCATGAAAAAAGCATGTTGCATTTTGTCATTAGTCAGCTTTTCATCTTTGACAAGAGTCAACGCTTAATTATATCACAAACCCCAAGATTTGACTGGGGTATAGAAATATTGTAATTCCTTGATCTGTTACCGACCGTCAATACAACTTTTGCAAAGTAGAGGCGTCCGTGTGGGATGTATAGTCATTTTTTCGAACCGGTCGATTACCTACTGTATTGGTTGTTAGTTTGCTTTTAACATGCATGATGAATTTGCTGCTTGACATTTAGCAATAAAATAATCAATCAATCAAGCAATCAATCATTAATGTTAAAATCATATATAGACACCTCTTCCTCTTTCTGTTATGTACTGAAAGCTTTTCGAGCATGACATACGGTAATTTGTAAATAGCGTGCTAAATACATATATATATATATATCTCATTTTCTGTATGATTTACATCTATCAACGGGATTATTTTTGCATAAGGTTGTATTTTATTTGGTTTTTTTCTGCATGCCGGTTTGTTTTAAATGATGGTTTGGATGAAGGGTCCTTGGATCTGTATTCTTTATTTTTGTTTTTTTTCTCTGTCTTTTTTATACATTTTGTCTATTTTTCTCTATTCATTATATGTTGGTACCTTATTTTCCTCTATTCTTTATTTTTTCTGCAATATTCACCGCATATTTTTCTATTCTGTACATCCAAATCCAGAACCTGGGGAAGGAATACAGAAACAAGTTGATAACGTCTTTCTAATTTCAAGAAGATATCCTAGCTTTAGTCTTCTGCATTCCATTTCTTACATTTTGATTTAGTGATTAAGTATATTTTGTATTGAAAAAGGCGTCCAATGGTAAATATAAATCACATATATGGTGTAGCAACAACCGTATCGACATGAACAACTAAAAGACATATGGTTTGTTCAGCAGTCACCTAAATATAAACAAATATATGTAAATATGCAAAATATTATTGTACACCTGTAAAGTTTAAAGTTAATTATTTGACCATTATAGCTGTGAAAAAATGAACTATCAAAAGCACATGCCTCCTCAAAGTAAACTTCATGTTTAGTAGAAGTGCGGTATGTCTAATTCTTTGCTGTTATTGACCTATAACGTGCTTATTGCATAAGGAGTGTGTATTACACTGCCTAAAGGTGAGACTATGTTCTCTTGTAAATATAAAAGTAAACACTTGTAGACGGGAAATCTAATCATACATCAATGTCATTTCAAATATTAAATTTGACACTTATAGCCAATAATGCTTTCAGTATTTATTTTCCTGAGACAGGTTAACTTCCACCTTCCGGTCCAACAACTTCGATAATATATTTTTGATGAAATAATATGACCAATTATGACAAAATAGGCACTATACGGTTTAACGTTGCATAATTAAACCTTCAACTTGTATGTTACATATTACAATCTTACTATGTGTGTAAATGTATGTACTTTTATTTATTTACTTACAAATTTAGCATCTTTTGCATTCATTGTTGTCTTATTTGTAACTTTAGTAACTTTAAGCTTAATCATATCTCCAGTATTTGCGAAAATAAGCATTCCATTTGCGTCCAAAAACATCTATCATTCATGATATGCAGTTTATACTATTTAGTTGTAATTTATCTTATTCTAATGTACTATATTGAGAATAATAACTTCCTTAGAATTAAATAATTAGGTAAAAAAAAAACTATCTTCAGGTTTTGTTTACATACAGAAACTTTACATGTCCCCTTCTGTTATCAAAGTGATTCCAGTATCTACATTAGACTTGTCTCCATCTTCAATACACTTGTTTATCATGATGTCTTATTGTGAAAATACTAACTTATTTCCTCAGATCTTGGATTGAATTTTGTCCAATTTGCCACCTCAAACTGAAATTTTATACATCGGTGACTTTCCGTAATGTCTGACAAATGGAAAAAAGAAAACTCATTGCAAGAGGTTAAGCTAGCTATATACCACGTTTAATCCAGCATTTTCTACAAAAATAAATGCGTGTACCAAGTGAGGAATATGACAGTTGTTTTCCATTCGTTTGATGTGTTTGAGCTTTTGATTTTGCCGTTTGATAAGGGACTTTCCGATTTGAATTTCCCTTGGAGTTCGGTATTTTTGTTGTTTTTTTTTTTAGCCTCTTGTGGAGAGTTGTCCCATTGGCTATCATACCACATCTTCTTATTTTCATATACAGTAAAGGTTAAAAATCTACAAAGATAAATGAAAAGAACACTATAGCACGTAATTAAGATGATACACAACCTCAGTACCTAGAATCTATACTTCAAAGACCATCATATATTATTTTGTAAATTGATACGAAATATTTTTTAACAATGTCTTAGTATCTTCCGTTAAACTTTGAAAGAAAAACATAACCCGTTTTATGAACTTTCTACTGAGACACTGGTATATAAACTCACTTAAATTTGCAGTTGTACTCTACGAAATTCATTACACAAGCCCCGTTCGTGGAATACAACTTACATTAGAACTGTAATTGTCGTTTTTGCTTCCTAATAATAGCTTCACAGAAGAGTTTTTTTGTTAGCGCAAATCAATAATACACTGCGGTACAAATAAGATATAACCTTGTGGCTCAAAAGAGATACTTTATTTTTTATGAATTGGCGCAACTGCAATACGTCCTCTTGATTTTCATTGGGTTTAGATTTACCGTTTGACTTACATTTTATTTTAGTCAAATACAGTTAACATTGATCTCAATGTTCTCAAAATAGTATACTTGTCTAGTATATAAATCTTGTTCAATGTTGAATGGTGTTGGTCGCAGTCTACCATGTTTAATTTTCATTAATGGTTTAAGTGTTAATCAGACCACATGTTTTATTGTTTGAATTGTTTGATATTTCGTTATACCAACGCATTTTATAAAGCTAACTATGTCATAGAGGTCTGTGCGATGCTTACATCCACGTACTTTGGTCTCTGTTGGTTTACAGTCTCAATGACAATACCTGCAAACCTCCTATCGGAATATATGTTTAAAATCAACTTTTTGTCTAGACTATTTCTTCTTAATCTAAGTTTTCTAATTAACAACAACTAACAATCTGCCATGTCTATAAATTGTATCTTAAACTTACTTACGTAAGCGGTATCCTATAACAATGATTAAAATAGTAAAATATTGTCAAATAAGATAGACACTTAGGCAATAAGTCATTGATTCCCACTAGAATTTAAATGTATCAGTACTTTTATTGATATTTCATCCCGTTAATAAACAGTCATATCTTTGTATGTGTGTGTGTACGTTGGATTTTTACTTTTCTTCTGGAAAGATCGGGTTGCTTCTCTGAGGGATGCTTTTTGGTTATTGTCCTTTTTTTTTCCTTTTTATGAAAGGGAGGATTGGCGTTAACGTATATATATGTATATATCAAACCTTTACATTTGTAAAAAAATTTCAACCAACATATTTTTTATTGATATTCATTTCCAATAAACCTTATTTAATGTATTTCAGATCAACCAATCCGACTATCTGTCATGTGGAAATGGATCGAACCTAACATGTGATGACCAGTGGAACACCAGTCGAGGCTCAGGCCAGAGGTCAATTGGGTCAGATGTATTTACATATGTCACGCCGGTAATATTTGCTGTAGGAATAACCGGAAATACTATTTCCTTGTTAGTGTTTCTTACTAAGAACATGAGGAAGTTATCTGCAAGCGTATATCTTGCAGCACTATCAACAGCTGATATCATGGCTTTGATATTCTATGTCCTTGTTGAGTGGATTAGAAAAGGAATACCAGTCGGTTCCGGACAGGTTACAGCTCCGTTTTTAGAAAGTAATGGAGTATGTCAAATTATTCTATTTATGTCGTATTCGTTCCGTTTCCTTTCAGCTTGGCTTGTAGCATGTTTTACATTAGAAAGGTATGTCGGAGTTTGTCATCCTTTGAAACGGAAGGATGTCTGTAATCTACGTTCTTCAAAAAGAATTGTTTTCTTTGCGATCATTGTTTCCTTTGTGATAGCTTCATTCCGACCATGGCTGAGCGAAGTTCTTTATGTAGGGCCCAATAATGTTCCATCGTGTACTAGACGACTAGAACATACATACCTTTCATTCATTTATGACTGTATTTTTGTAGTGTGTATCACCTTTCTTCCATTCCTGATTATAACAATACTGAATACACTGATCATTCGGAAGTTAATCATTCGGAACAAAAGACACCGACAGGTGAAAATTATAACAGAGGAGAGTATAATTCGACTAGAATTTACCATCATTTTAATAACTATATCAGTTTGCTTCATCGCTTTCAACACTCCATATGCCATTGTATGGTTTAAACATTCTCTGCAAATAAGTTCTATGAGAATGGAAGATAGTGTATACGTACCAACAAATCAAAACTTGTTGATTTTTACAAAAACAATATTTTTTTTGAATTATTGTATTAACTTTTTCCTATATAGTATAACGGGTGCTTACTTCCGCGAAGAACTTAAAATGTTATTCACATATAGAAGTAAAGTCTATCAAAATTATCACCAATGCCCCCTCCCTAATTCTCGAGCAACAACTCCACAATCGTGGGTTGTTGGAAGCATGAAAAATACGGTTCAATGTTCAATAAAAATGTATCAATAAAATGTAGACTTTTTTCCCTAAAGATATTGATTTCAATTTTGATCATTTTCTTTCAGGTCGACATTAGCATATCGAAAATACTTAAACTTATTGTTCTGCTAATTTTAGGGCAAACACAGGATTAATGTATGATTCAGTAATAGATATGGTAAAACGGCAATGAGACATTAAACAAAGAAAGACATTTTGTTGCACACACAATTATACCAGTTTTGATTTAGGTTTGGTTAGCACAAGTTTTACCGATATTTTGTAATACAAAGATATTCAATTATACCAGTTTAAGCGCGATTACTATGGTTTTTGTTTACTCATTTTTTTTGGTTTTCTTTGCATTGTTTTGAAAAAAAGTTGTTTGTATTTTTGTCGTTTTTCTTTTAATTAAAGTTTTATGTGTTTCTACGACAAAGTATTTTTGTTTGGGCCGTGTGTATATTCTGTGCTCTTTTTTTTCTATTGCAAACATATGTAACTTATTCCAGTTTTCCGATATCTTGTAATGAACACATATGTAGCTATAACACAAGTATTAGAGATATTTCGTATTGAACACAAATGTTACTAAAAGCAGTTTTAAAGCGACTTTGTATCAACCATATCATATATGAGGTTTTGCTAAAATAAGTTTTAGTTAGACTTTGCATTACACATAAATGTACAAATAAAAACACATTAGACATTTCATAAAAACTCATTAGTGACCAATTGACCAATATGCACACATATGAAGCTTAGCAAAAACAAGTTTTAGCAAGACCTAACATTGTATAGAAAAAAGTAAAACAAGATATCTTTTAGTGATATTTCGTATTGCACATTCATGCAGTTGATATCGTATTAGAGTGACTTAGTGCGCACATATGTACCTAATTCTTAGTTTGTACGGGTTTTATCTTTGATTTTGACCGTCAGTCTTACTTTATTCTTTTTTGAGCATTTAATACTGTTCATATTACTGATTGTCAGTGCATAGCTAATGTTAGATTACTAATACATCCACTATTTTTCATTCCAATTAAACCTTGGAATTTTCCAGCCTTTACGACGATTGGTGTCTGTTTTTCAGTGCATATAAAAACTTGCTTTAAACAGATAATGAAATACATCATTTTTGAAGACCTTGCAACTTATATTGGCCATATTTCAAAATACAATACTAAATGAAGGCAACAGTAATATACCGCTGATTAATAGTCATAATTCGATTAAGCAAAAACAAGTCCGGGTAACAAACTAAAACCAAGGGAAGCACATTAACTAGTAGAGGAAAACAAAAGAACAACAGAAACATTGTCTTACAACAAAAGCAAACGCCAACATACATACTTAGTTTGACTTTTTAATGAGTAGTCAATGATGTGTCTCTATTAGACACACAAATAAAATAATTGCTGAATATTGTTTTACGAGTCCGTAATGTAAAGAGGCATCATTGTTTCAAATGTTTTCTAAAATTGTAGCCTTGTTAGCAATAGTAGGTTTTGTAAAGAATACTAAATTTTTTGTTCGACTAGCTTGATTTGATATATAGCTTTACATGCCTTTATTTTTGCTTTTTTAGTTATGAGTTCTTTATATGTTGAGTAAATGCATGCATGCTTTAGCTTACATATAGATATTATATGTTATAATGTGATTTTTTTGCTTTTTTCGTTCTGCATTTTGTTTTCAGCAGTTTATATTTCTAAAGCAAATGCATGCTTTAGTCTATTTCATAGATAGCACAATGTATGTGAATTTATAAGATCACCTTAAGAGGTGAATATATACACAATTGGAGGATGGGCGGGGTGCTTTTTTTTTATACATTTAAGACTCTACATTTCTTGAAAATAAACATTTAGATTGAAATAAAACATGTACATTTTGTACCTTCAATACTCATAAAGGGATAGAAATTAATATCTTAAGGTGAGCTTTAAAAAATTAATATTTAGTTTTTGATCTCAATTAAAGTAAATAAACAAACTGTGTATGCTTATTTAAATCTTAAGATGCAAAGTGACACCTCACATATTGTAGTGATGTTATATAAACATGAGACAAACTTGACCAGATCAGATTAGGAAGCACAAAACAATGGACATTTTGTGGTAAGGTGCTTCTTGTGTGATCTCTTCTCTTTTGTCTAAATAATTATTTTCAATATTTTATGTGTAAACCTAATTCATTAATTATAAGTTTGTAAGAAATGGTGTTTAAATATTGAGATGTAGTACATATTATCATGCAGATCAGTACAAAACTTAGTCACGCCTAAATTTGATCTAAAAACAAATTAAGTTATTTCCCCTAGAACACATATGTAAATCTGCATTAAGATAAGAAATATCTTAGTTTCATATTATATGTTTTAAATTTGTTTCATCTTCTTTTTTGTTTGTTTATTTTTTGTATATATTTATTACAAAACATGGATTTCTGGTATTTGGCATATATATGAAATATTTTTTAAGGACGTGAAATATTATGAAATCAGTCCTGATGTCTCGCATGAACTATTTTTCCTTTGTTTTTACAAATATCATACTTCACAGTTGAAGAACAAATATCATGATGGAAGGAAAAAACATTAAAATAATGTCCTATAATTGTCAAGGACTTCACATGAGGGAACAACGGGGAGATATTTTTGATTATCTTTATTCAAAAGATTTAAATATACATTGTCTCCAGGATACACACTTTGTAGAACAAGATGAAGTTTTGATAAAAAACCAATGGAAAGGCCATTGTGTTTTTAATTCATTTGCTTCAAATAAACGAGGAGTTGCTATTCTGTTTAAAAATGATTTTGACTATAAAATACATAAAGTTAAAAAAGATGGAGATGGCAATCTGGTGGGATTGGATCTTAATATTGAAGACAAGAGATTTACTCTGATAAATGTTTATGGGCCAAATATTGATACTCCCTGCTTCTATGACAAATTAACAGAAATAATAGATTTCTTTGGAAATCAGCTTTGCATTATTTGTGGGGACTTTAATCTTGTTCAAAATTTCAATCTTGATACCCATCACTATATAAATATAAACAATCCAAGATCTAGAGAGAAAATTTGGGAAATTAAAGAATATAAGAATCTCATCGACCCATTTAGAGAAATATATCCTGATCTTAAACGATTTACATGGAGAAGGAAAAACCCTTTTAAACAATCTAGATTAGATTTCTTTTTGATTTCTGAAAGCCTTATAGATGACATTTGTGAAGTAAACATTGGTAATAGCTACAGGTCAGATCATTCACCAGTGATTTTGACTTTAAAAATAAATGACTTTATAAAAGACAGAGGCCTCTGGAAGTTTAGTAACTCTCTCCTTCAAGATCCTGAATATGTAAAACTAATAAAACAACAAATTACTAACACAGTTGAGCAATATGTAATGCCAGTGCATAGAGGGGATGCTTTACATGGTATTGATAATTTAGATATTGAATTTTCAATTAATGACCAATTATTTTTGGAGACCCTTCTCCTTGAGATTAGAGGTAAGACTATTTCTTATTCAACATTTATAAAAAGAGAAAGGACAAAACAGGAAATCCAATTGACTGAGGAGATACAAAATTTAAAAAATAAGGTAAGTACAGAGGACACTCTTGATGAAATAGAAGCCAAAAAATGTCAACTTAGAATTTTGAGACAGAACAAGGTTAAAGGTCAATATGTTAGGTCAAGAACCCAATGGATTGAAGAAGGAGAGAGGCCCACTAATTTTTTTTTGTAATTTAGAAACACAAAACTTTGTCAATAAAACTATTAAAAAAACTAGTTACTGATGAAAATACTGTAGTAGAAAATCAAAAAGAAATCTTAAAACAATCAAAAATATTTTATGAGAAACTTTACAAAAGACAAGAATGTCTTAAAAAAATAAACTTATCAAGGGAATTACCATCTTTGACATCAAAATTAAATGATATCGAAAAAGAATCATTAGGAGGTAACATTTCTTTTACTGAATTAACACAAGCTTTGAAAAGGATGAAAAATAATAAAAGTCCTGGGTCAGATGGTTTTACTGCAGAATTTTTTAAAGTATTTTGGATAGACATTGGAAAGTTTGTCTTGAGGTCAATAAATTATTCATATCAGATAGGGGAAATGTCTGTCACACAGAGGCAGGGTGTTATCACATGTATTCTAAAAGAAGGCAAGTCAAAACAGTTCTTAAAAAATTGGCGTCCAATTGCACTTTTGAATTCAACATACAAACTAGCTTCTAGTTGTATAGCTGAGAGGATAAAGTCAGTTCTAAACAGAATTATTGACTATGATCAAACAGGCTTTATCCCGGGTAGATTTATTGGGGAGAACTGTAGACTTGTATATGATATTTTACACTTTACATAAGAAAATGATATCCCTGGTATATTATTACTCATTGATTTTGAGAAGGCCTTTAACTCTATATCATGGGCCTTTCTCTTTGAAACACTGAAGTATTTTAATTTTGGAGACTCTATCATGAACTGGATAAAAACATTTTATAATGATATTACATCTACTGTCACCCAGAACTGCTGTCTGTCAGACTTTTTCCGTGTGGAGAGAGGCTGTAGACAGGGGGATCCTTTGTCTCCTTACCTTTTCTTGCTATGTGCTGAAATATTAGGCATTTTAGTAAGAAGTAGTGATGAGATAAAGGGTATTACGATAGATGATTCAGAGTATATCTTGTCTCAATATGCAGACGACACATCACTTATATTAGATGGGTCGCCTTCCTCACTGGATGCATCTCTCCGTATATTACAATTCTATGCTGAGATATCAAGACTGAAAATTAATTTAGACAAAACAAACGTTATATGGATAGGTAGTAAAAGACATAGTCAAGACAAAATATGTGTAAAGTGGGGACTGAAATGGGGTTTCAGTTACTTCAAATTATTAGGTATCACTTTCTGTGTTGATTTAGATAGAATGTTAAATCTAAACTATGCTCCTCGAATACAAGAAATAGAAAAAATATTACAAAAATGGTCAAAA